AGTTGTACAATATGCAGTAGTAACACATTACATTTCCTAAGTAGTGGGCTTTCCCAGAAAGGCTGAGCAGTGTGATTCCCAGTTGGTCCACTCAGATTCTATGTCTCATGATAAATTCCTCAGAAAGTAGAAGCTAAAGACCTTGTGGACAGGAGGCTCAACCAGACGTGTTGAGTTAACCCTCACCATGTTTCAGTTTTCCATGTCTGCCTAGCAGTCTCCCTCTCATCTGATACAACTTACCACCACGTGTTAATCAGTTAACAATTCTGTTCCTCTTTTCAACTGAGTGTCAGACATACAATCAATCCGATTTATACGGCCACAAAGTTGATCGGCTATCTTTGGTTCAGTGTGTTCTGGTACCAATTACACAATCACTATGTGCATAGAAATGTCTGATACTGTACATAAAATAAGTACACATGCAGTATTAACTTCGGATTCATTACACGTGCGCACCAGTCAACTTTGTTCTTACCACCATGCATATGCTAGTAAATCATTTTAAATGACAGGCATGTTGCAGCTTTTCAAAATCAGCATTCTGCCCCGTCCAGATTTTTCTATTTAAGGATTTACATTTGTCTAGAAGACCAAAATACATGGGATACAGATAGCAACAGCATGCCACAGCATGCCACAGCATGTCCATTATAATCATCTGAAGATGCTACACTGACCACAGAAGCCGTGCTTACCAGCTCGGGCACCGCACAGCTCTTCTTTTCTTTTACGCAGCTGGCTTTTTTTTCTCTGTGCACAGCTCTTTGGCCCTACAACATGTAAAAATGACATAGAACTGTGTACAAAAACAGCACAATCTGTTTAAAAATTATAAAAATGAATACCTAATTTTACCAGAGGCAATGCGATGCAGCAGAGTTTAAGTTTGGCCGCACTTCACCACAGAATCAAATGACCACAGCTCTGACTGGCCACTACAGCTGTCCATGGCCATTGCATGGCAGCTCGTCACAGGCCGCACTTTACCGCTGCTTGGTGTATTTTCACCATTGTGTCAATCTCTGAAGATGTGCTCTCCTCAAGGCACAGGCTGCAATATCTTCCAGCAAGGTCAAGTAAGCCATCTTAGCAGGGGGATTTCCTGTGTTTTGGGCCCACCTAACCATGAAAGTATGCATCCTTCGAACCAGTCGCCCGAAGTTCCAGTAACCACCTAATGGTTAGCATATGAAACGTCTTGCGGGCAATGCATTGGTTTAAGATGTGATGTTCCAAAATGGATCTGACTTCTCCTTTCTTCTTGGGAACCACAAAGTATGCAGAGTGAAAATCCCTTCCATCTGTGAGTGGGGAGGAAGGACACAGCCTGTTTTTGTAACAGGTCATGGATCTCTGCCACTCCCTTGAAACTGCATCAGGGGACAAGTATGTTGGCCAGCGTTTAAAGCTAAAAAGCCGTGATATCCTGTCTATGCCCTCTCCACCACCAGATATTCCATAAAAGTGGTAGCAAGGTTCAGGAAAACATAACTAGTACTGTGGAAACCTCCAAGCCATGCGGAGGTCTGTGAACCAGCAGCCGACAGCATGTCTCTGTGTTTAATCCTCTTATCTCCCATGGAGATTGGGAGAGAGAAATAGATGTGTGTATTTGTTTTGTTAATCAGAACTGCTATATATCTGGTGATGTGTCTCCTTACATCATCATGTGGGAATATAGGTTCATGAATGGACATAGCTCCTTAAATTTCTCTTTTCTCTTTTTTTGGAGATTGAATGGAGAGATAGATCCAATGGCCACAATATGTGATGAATGCTATTTTCACATCACGCCAAGCGTGGCATTCATAAATGGGCACAGTGCTTTGATGCCATTGGTTAAGACTGACTACACTAGTCTGAGCTCTTTGTCCACTTCTTTTAATAAAGGTGTGGAGAGGGTGGCAAGTACGTGAGTGTGCTCGGCACTCGCCACTTGGCAAGCCACTGAGACATAATGGGTGGATGAGAGGGGAGTATGCTCTTGAGCAATCTAATTTGTTTTAATCAAAACATTTTTCACATTACCAATATGGACAGGAGCACCTACGTTAATGACATTGCAGCCATGCACCTCAGCTATAAAGGGGGCGATGTAGGGGTGCGGGGCGGTTAGCTCTCCGTACCACAATCGCTCTCTTCTCCTTTACGGCACTTTACTATCCAATGTCTTATCTCCTTCCTGTGGATGAGCGAGCAGCAGGTGACAACTGTGTCCTCCTTCAATAGTCATTTGAAGAGCTGAGTGACTGATGACAACAATCTGAAAAGCCCTTCCACAATGAAAAGGGTTCCCTCAAGATTATTCTAGTTCTTTTTGGGGACTGTGAGTCCCAGCCATACATGATGGGGGGCTACTATGGCTAGACATCACACAGCCTGCTGCAGCAACACAGATTCAGATTATTCATTTGGCCATTCTGTGGTCCAAAGTATCATTCCAAGATGGTGCGGGGGGATTTAGCAACTGGGTATGTTGGGAGTCTGGCTAGTTTCCAGCCAGATTCCCAACACACCCAGTTTGTTAGCAGCTGCAGTTAGCTGCACTCCCAGCTGAAATATCTAGTCAAAATACTATAGCATCTCTGTCACACAGCAACAGTGGTAGAGGCTCCCTACTATCTCATCAGCGGGCTGACTGCAGGCGCAGGTAGGCAGCCAGACCATCAAAGGGAACCATGCCAGGTTCAGTTCCTCCATGTCACCATGCATCCTGTGAAATCTACAATATCCGGAACTGGGGCTCTCATCTTTAAGCGACTACTGCCAGGATGCTTCGACAAACTGCAAGATGTCAGGAAGAAGGAGTGAGATGAAAGCTGTGCAGGCTGAGCAAACAGACAGGTGGGAAGTCCAAGCGGAGAAAAGTCATCAGTGGACTCCTGCTGATGTACTGAACATCAATAAGTTCATCATCTACAGACCCTCGCCCTTGTCTCAGCAGCGATGACCAAAGGTGGCGGTGGAGTGTTGGTGGTTGGAGACTGGGTCTCGATGTCATCAATCTTGAGCTCCTGCTCACTCTCTTGGCAGTGTCTGAAGTCATTCCACCACTGCTGACATCTAAAACTGAGCAGGGCCCAGCAATCCTCACAGGCTGGTAGCTGCTGAACATCTCTCTCTGCATGGTTTGTGCCAAGGCTTTGATAGGATTACTGAAACAGTGACTCAATTTGTGGGGAAAGCTGATCAGTGAGCAAATTGCCCTTGCTGAAGAGAACAGGATGGCGGACAATGTTGTCGTACCACCTTATATACTTTGGCCTCCACTAGTATTCCAGTAGGAATATACTGATTGGTTGGCTACGTTTATGCATATTTTAGTGGGAGAATGACTGATTGGAGGAGAGTATTACCCATAAAGTCCAGTAGAGGGCAGAGCTTGTTTGTGATAGAACGAAGCATCACTCCCAATTAATCCTCTCGAGGTTTGTCCGTGGGCTGTATCCTTTCCTGGACCCCATCCAGAGACTTTAAGAAGGCCAAATATTCTGATGCATAGATACAAACACCAGCCCTCCCCACAGTGATTCATAATGGTATAAAGGTAGTCCATTTGTGCTTGTGAGTATTCCACACCCACCCTCTCACCCTGGGCAGCTATGGAATACATCCCCTCTGTAGGAGTTTGGTTCCAGACCAAAATGCGTAGAGGTAAACCCAACTACAGTATATCTAGTTGGTACCGCTCAATGTCCCACACTAGCTCTAGTTCCTTCCCCACCAGAGAAGTGATGATCCCTGTCCCTAGAATTGTGTTGCCAGGGGTCAGCATGGCTGTGCTCGACTAGGCCCCCGTGGATCAAGACCCAGCCATCACACACTCACCGGCAAGCTCACAGCTTGCTGGTGAGTGCTTACAGGTCTGGCTCCGGGAGTGGGCCTTGGTTTCTCTGGTCCAGACAATGTGCAACAGCTTTTTCTTGGCCTATTCACATGGTCTGTGAATCACTCTTAGTCTGGTCTCTCCCCAAGGACAGATTTGCTATGGGGGATCCTACCAGGAGCTATTTCCCCCAAAAATACAACTCGCAGGGTCATAGGGATACAAAACCCCTCCACCATGATAAGGTGCTAATTTTAGGAGGGGTAACCCAAATGTATAAAGCTTCTGCAACTTCAACATGAATATTCTGCTTACCTACCTACCTGCTGAGTTTTCAGTAATGTAACATTCTGAAATGAATGGGATATTCAAAATACATTCACAGTAACTACTAACGGTAACTAGTATAAAAGCAAGACCTTAATTGAAAGAAGTATTTATAATTACAGAACATATGAAATTAACAATTTTTTTTTTTGATAACCTTATACTTAAAGGGGCAAAGAGCGAAATCCTTTCACCGCTAGGTTTGCTGTTGTGCACTGCCTGTAGACCAAAACAAAGTGTGTCATGAGCCACACCTCCCTCTACCTCTGCTCTCCAACAGCTAGTGGAGGCTAACTGGCTGTGTTGGCAGCTGAGTGAAGTGGAGCATGAGGAGGAAGCACCGGTTAGCCCCGCTTTCACTGCAAGCAGATTCCGGCTTGTAAACAATGGGCTGGAGATCAACACAGAGAGAGGGTGTGTGACGTCATGCTATACTCCAGATGAAATTACACCTCTAGTTCTTCCCATAGCAATTTTTTAATTCCTTCAATCTAGAAATGATGAATTTCGCTTATTGCTCCTTTAAAGCAACTACGTGTAGGATTTGAAAATTTCTGCCTCTGGTACCACCAGTGGTGGTATCAAAAAAGACATTATGACTTACAATAATGTTCGTCTACCCTGTTTGAACTAAATATCTATTGAACATCAATTTTCAACAGGATTGTATTCTTTTTCTACAAACAAAAAGGCTATATTATTATTTTTTTTTTAAAAATCCTACAAAGTGACTTTTATTGAAAAAAAAGAACATCTCTTGCTGCTGCTTAATGTTCTTTACTTGTTCTCTGCTGTTCTTTCTTCCTGTTTGTCTTGCCTTTATCCCTGTCCTGCCTAACAGCGGAGCCGCTCACGCCACTCTCCAGGGATCCATCTAGCTGTATGTACTCACTGTCACACAACATGTCATATACAGTACAGGCCAAAAGTTTGGACACACCTTCTCATTCAATGCGTTTTCTTTATTTTCATGACTATTTACATTGTAGATTCTCACTGAAGGCATCAAAACTATGAATGAACACATGTGGAGTTATGTACTTAACAAAAAAAGGTGAAATAACTGAAAACATGTTTTATATTCTAGTTTCTTCAAAATAGCCACCCTTTGCTCTGATTACCGCTTTGCACACTCTTGGCATTCTCTCCATGAGCTTCAAGAGGTAGTCACCTGAAATGGTTTCCACTTCACAGGTGTGCCTTATCAGGGTTAATTAGTGGAATTTCTTGCTTTATCAATGGGGTTGGGACCATCAGTTGTGTTGTGCAGAAGTCAGGTTAATACACAGCCGACAGCCCTATTGGACAACTGTTAAAATTCATATTATGGCAAGAACCAATCAGCTAACTAAAGAAAAACTAGTGGCCATCATTACTTTAAGAAATGAAGGTCAGTCAGTCCGGAAAATGGCAAAAACTTTAAATGTGTCCCCAAGTGGAGTCGCAAAAACCATCAAGCGCTACAACGAAACTGGCACACATGAGGACCGACCCAGGAAAGGAAGACCAAGAGTCACCTCTGCTTCTGAGGATAAGTTCATCCGAGTCACCAGCCTCAGAAATCGCAAGTTAACAGCAGCTCAGATCAGAGACCAGATGAATGCCACACAGAGTTCTAGCAGCAGACCCATCTCTAGAACAACTGTTAAGAGGAGACTGCGCGAATCAGGCCTTCATGGTCAAATAGCTGCTAGGAAACCACTGCTAAGGAGAGGCAACAAGCAGAAGAGATTTGTTTGGGCCAAGAAACACAAGGAATGGACATTAGACCAGTGGAAATCTGTGCTTTGGTCTAATGAGTCCAAATTTGAGATCTTTGGTTCCAACCACCGTGTCTTTGTGAGACGCAGAAAAGGTGAACGGATGGATTCCACATGCCTGGTTCCCACTGTGAAGCATGGAGGAGGAGGTGTGATGGTGTGGGGGTGTTTTACTGGTGACACTGTTGGGGATTTATTCAAAATTGAAGGCACACTGAACCAGCATGGCTACCACAGCATCCTGCAGCGACATGCCATCCCATCCGGTTTGCGTTTAGTTGGACGATCATTTATTTTTCAACAGGACAATGACCCCAAACACACCTCCAGGCTGTGTAAGGGCTATTTGACCAAGAAGGAGAGTGATGGAGTGCTGCGGCAGATGACCTGGCCTCCACAGTCACCGGACCTGAACCCAATCGAGATGGTTTGGGGTGAGCTGGACCGCAGAGTGAAGGCAAAGGGGCCAACAAGTGCTAAACACCTCTGGGAACTCCTTCAAGACTGTTGGAAAACCATTTCAGGTGACTACCTCTTGAAGCTCATGGAGAGAATGCCAAGAGTGTGCAAAGCAGTAATCAGAGCAAAGGGTGGCTATTTTGAAGAAACTAGAATATAAAACATGTTTTCAGTTATTTCACCTTTTTTTGTTAAGTACATAACTCCACATGTGTTCATTCATAGTTTTGATGCCTTCAGTGAGAATCTACAATGTAAATAGTCATGAAAATAAAGAAAACGCATTGAATGAGAAGGTGTGTCCAAACTTTTGGCCTGTACTGTACTTGTTTTTGGTTTGACATTGCTTAGATTTATCTGGTCCACTTAGGTGAACTATTAAACCCACAATGCCATTACCATATTACAAATATATTGTCACTGTAATGCGAGATGGTAATGTCAGATGATTACATGGTCTCACATGGGTTAATATCATGGTAACATGGTAACCTAAAGTACTGCTACACAGTTACATTTTAAAAAAGCCTTCTTCAACAAAATAGTAGTCTGCGCTTATAGTGGCCACTTTTTATAAAACATGATACATGCTCAAATTGTTTAATTTCTGGTTTAATGCCTTTTCTTTTGTTAGTGCCTATAGCCACATGGTTGAGTAAACAAAATTCTCATATTTGAATGTGTAAACATACCATCCACATTAGACGCTGCTTACTGGAGTGTCTCAGTGCATGCAGAACTGAAGAAGATAGCCAACTCTTGGCCAAACTCAGGGTCCCACTTGCAGATGACAGTGAGGGACTTCAGAAACCCTGGCTCTTCATGGACCTTTTTTTACAGCAGACATTTTAACTCATAGTAAGAAAAACCTTTTTGTTAACAATGGCACAGTACAATCAAGTGTCCCAGTAAGCCCGGGCTATTCACTTGGCGGCTCCAGCCTGCCAGAATACTTGTCACTTGTATACAAGTACCCTCATATAGCACATGCTGCATACTCAGGTACTGTAGGTGGTGGTATGTACATCCCTCTGTCCTTAGGACCCTCGCAGCGGATGAGGAAAAACTCCCCGGACTGATTTGTGAACATGGTATTGCCATTTGAATGTACAAATACCCTGGTCCTATGTGTCTTGATATAAAACAAAGCACAGATGTTGTTCTGCATTTACAAAATACAATATATTTACTCCTTCAGTATGTTGTTTTAATTTCTGTGTCTGTTAACGTGATTACTGATATTGTCCGGTCCCTACCTTCTGGCTCAGTTTCGGAACTAGCCCCCATTCCAAACTAATTCAGGGCTCGAAATTGCGACCGTTTTGGTCGCATATGTGACCAAAATTTCATCTGTGTGACCTCAAAATATAATTGGGAGCACTGGTGCGAGTGTAAATAATTCTTCTGGTGTGACTATTGGCCACTGGGTTTTCATTGAGTCCCATCTTTTTCCAGATCAATGGAGCCAGTTGGTAAATTAAACTTTTACCAAACCCCATAGGAAGGACAGCAAACACATCCTTTTTTTCAATAAAAGCTTTCAGTGCAGCCGTTTGCTCTGTTTTTAAAGAAAATGTACATTCCAGTTCATTCAACACATTTACCATCACAGTTTCAACATCAGTAGCCATGTTGGTTGTTTAAGAAATGCATTCACTCTGCTCCTTGTCCCTCCTATTCTGATGACATGCTCGCCCCAAAGTAATAAACAAAATAAATAAATTGAATAGCCCTGCAGTAAGTTATTACAGCGAGCCAGGGTGCACAATACGAACACCCTGTCATCAATAACAACTGTGCTTTTCCTTCAGTGAAAATACAAAATGTCTGCTGTCTATAAAGAAATGTCCTTAGTCACTCTGAATATATGCCAAGAATATGGCAGGCAGGCCAGGTGATTGTCTGCTATGTCCCCATTTGGTTCATCTGCCATCACAAATGGGAAATTAAGGCAACACAGGGAAGAGGGTTCAAATGCAGACAAGCAGGCAGGGTGAAAGGATAAAGAGAAATTTATTAAAGGTGGCAGTCAGGAACAGGCTTACAGGTAGGCAACAGGATGGCGTTCTGAACAAACAAATTCAAGAGGGGCAAGAACAAGCAGGAACATACCAGGTATGGGTTGAGGTTCAGATTCAGGTGCCCGGAAAGTAAAGGCATAAGCAACAGGTGAGCAGGTGACTGGGACTGGTGGGAAAGTCTAAGTGCATCTGGTGGATGGATGCATGGATGCATGGATGCATGGAAATCTCAGGGTCTGCAGAAGTAAGAATATGGCTAAAAGGAGGGACAGCAGCAGAATGGGTAAAGCAGGAGTTAGACTTTGTGAAAAGTACTGTTTTTGAGTTAACACTTAATGTGCAAGAATCAGGTGTAGTCATAGTATGAAGCCAGAGGTATAGAAAAACTATAAGTACTTTGTTACTGGATAATAACCTTGTGTCAGTGATGATTATCAGAGAACTTTTGTCTCTCTCCCTCCCTCAGTCTGTCCCTGATGCCAGCCCTATGAAGCGCTCAGCCTCCACTGTCACCCCACAGCGAACCCAGGAGGTCAACCTTAGGGACTACACCTTAGACAAACCCAGCCAGGACCGACCCCACCACCATCACCACCACCACCGCTGCCACCATCGTAGAGACAGGGATAGAGATAAAGACAGAGACAGAGATAGAGAGAAGAGGCAGAGGTCTTTGGATACACCTCTGGGTGAACAACCACACAGCTCTTCTGGTTAGTCAGCACTTACAGACACACAGAGTCTCCAGAGCATAGTATGAGGGTTACCATATTTTCAGACCTCTAAACCAGGACACTTAAGTGTCCCGCACATTCATGCACATGCACATGTATGCAGTGGTAGAATGTTACAAAGTACACTTACTCAAATACTATATTTAAGTATACATTGGGCACTTCAGTATTCCCATTTTATGTTACTTTTAACTTCTACTCCACTACATTTCAATGGCAAATATTGTAATCTACTCCAAGCATTTTAGTAACAAATCAGTGATGAATTCATACAGGTGATAATAAGTGGGAGAGAACATGATAAATGTCCATGAGAGCACTAAAACAAGTTTAATTTGAAAATTAGGGCTCAAGCTCTAAAGGAGCAGAACCATAATTATTATTATTATCATTATTATTATTATTATTATTATTATTGTTATTATCACAATTGTGTTTCTGATCTTTATTGTGTGAGTGCTGATTAAAAGTGTGTTCTCAATGTGTTCTTTAAAAAAGCAGTGGAGACTACTTGTACTATCATCTGAAAGTACAGACCAAGTTCTGTCCAAGTATCATAAACGTTGCGCAAATGGCAGGACTTTGAGTATGCTGTTACTGACCTGCTCACCCATATTTTGGTAGAGGTCCCTGAGGTAATCAAACAGTCCCTAAGTGTCAAGGTGCCAGGTGTTGATGAGATTTTTCCTGAGATGTGGATGACTCTGGACATTGTTATCACACTGCTCAGCCTTCCCAGGAAAGTATATTTCAGGGTGCTGGAATGGAGGCTCTGACCGATAGTCGAACCTCAGATTCAGGAGAAGCAATGTGGATTTCGTTCAATCCATGGAAAAGTCGAGCAGCTCTTAACCCTTTAAATGCTGCTGGTGGGGTCATGGGAGTCTGCCCATACAGTCTACATGTGTTTTATGGATTTATAAAATAGGGTTGTAACTAACTATTATTTTAATTGTTAATTAATCTGTTGCCTCTCTGTAAGCTCCGCTGATATTTGTGCAGTTTATACTCTTCTGTTTATTCAGTTGCACTTTTCTGATAACAGTGATAACATGTGACTTTAAGACACTCATCAGGAAATGGATTTGAACTCACCACTGTCCTCCTGCTGGGTGGTGCATTCAGGTTTGAACCTGGAACCCTCTTGCTGTGAAGCGACAGTGCTAACCAGGGTTCCAAGTTCAAGTCTGCTGTTTGGTGAGGCCCTTTCTGTATGGGATGTACATTTTAACCAAAATGTATTGATAAATCAATAAACCACCTTTCACCCTGTAATATTGTCCTTCTCCACAGGCGCACCAGGAGAGCCAGAGTCTGACCTAGCTGCCTCCAGAGAGCGGGCCCACGACCGTGGACGCTCCCACTACAGGAAACACCACTCATCTGTGGACAAGCAGCGCTACTACTCCTGTGACCGCTACTGCAGCCGGGAACACTGCCACACCAAACCTGCCACCACCAGCTGTGTTGCCTCCCCCAGCGAGGGGCAGGAAAGCAGCAACAAGCAGGTGGGAGGGCAGACGCATGTAGAGTAGGGACAGACATGATATTAGACCAAGTGAACAGGATTTCTAAAGGGATTTTAATGAATTTGGAGTTTATCTGACAGTGTTTAATATTGTTGAATACTGCATTCCCTTAGAATGTCATTCGAATCAGAAAAAAACAAATATTTAGATCAAAGAACACTAGGCTAGGAATAGGCTTGGGTGGTATGTTTTTTTTTTATATCTTCATACTCTCTTGACATTTCACCAGGTAAAAAACTAAAGGCTGAACTACTGAGGTCATTGTAGTATGTGGGTGTATCTAATATGCAATTAGCCTACTTAGCTGAGTCCTGCTGATTTTAAATACTTATGGCCCATAGATTAATTAATAAGTAGGAAATAAATGCCCTTCTTGCCGGAAGACCTGATAACATCTGTTGCCACAGAAGATACCGACACATCAGTGGGCTGAATGAGGATGTGTCAATAAAATCATGCGACTGATGAACTACGTTTATAGTTCGAAGAAGTCATATTTCCTTTACTAGTCCTGTAACAATATCCCCACCGCTGGCAGTTGCCATTTTTCTCATCTCAGTTGCCTGTTTGATCAGTCGAGACCAGAGGTGGGGGATTAAAGTCACATGATTTGACTCCAGTCTGACTCCGACTTGAGACTTGCTTGACTAACACTGATGAAAGACTCAACTGGACCTTGTCTTGGTAGTCCTATCTTGAGACTTGATTCAGATTTGGTACAGATGACTTGAAAGGACTTGACTTTATTTAATATCTGTGTTTTTCTAGATATTGAGAAGTTATGTTTTGTTTTTGAAACATAATAACCAAAATAATAATAATAATAATAATATTTTGGCAGTATATATGTGTAGCCGTCTTGCTACGTTTGTGAGTTTCCCCAGCACATCAATCAATCAATCAATTTTATTTATAAAGCCCAATATCACAATTTGCCTCACAGGGCTTTACAGCATACGACATCCCTCTGTCCTTAGGACCCTCGCAGCGGATAAGGAAAAACTCCCCCCTAAAAAACCTTTAACGGGGGAAAAAAAATGGTAGAAACCTCAGGAAGAGCAACTGAGGAGGGATCCCTCTTCCAGGACGGACAGACATGCAATAGATGTCGTACAGAACAGATCAACATGATAAATTAACAGTAATCTGATGACACAATGAGACAGAAAGAGAGACAGAGAAAGAGACAGAGACAGAGATGCAGGACAGATGGTAATGACAGTAGCTTACAACAACATTAATGAAAGTAATAATATTATAGTTATAATTCTGGCTATTGTGGTATAATATGTTGAAAGTATATATTAATATCTGATAGTATACATATGTGACAATAATCATGTGTATAATAACAATAGAAGTATGACTAATGATAACAGCAGCAGCAGGAGGCATCTGGCAGGACCACGGCAGCAGCACAACCACACACGTCACACTATCCAGGCACCGCTACAATATGAGTTAACCTTCGAGACAGTGGAGCACAAAGGCTCCGGATAGACACACAGATCCTCCGATAGTTTTACAGACTTTCATTCGGGCTGTCTGCTCCGAACAGCAATCATTATTTTAAACAATAATCACGTGCCCGCAGCTGCCCGGCTCCCGCAGCACATGCTCTTCCGTAGGCTACAATTTTTAAATTTTTTTTTAAAAGATATTTTTAGGGCATTTTTTGCCTTTAATAAACAGGACAGGTAAGTTTGAAAGCGGGGGAGAGAGAGAGGGGGGATGACATGCAGCAAAGGGCCACAGGCTGGACTCGAACCCAGGCCGCTGCGGCAGTAGCCTTGTACATGGGGCGCCTGCTCTACCACCAAGCCACCAACGCTCCCGTAGGCTATGTTTTAAACTGATACAACACAGAGGCAGAGGTTTCCTTTGTGTGGAAGCAGACGTCTGACCAGGCCCAGCACACTACTGCATAAAGGGGAGAAAGAGCAGTCAAAATAATCAGCAGCAGCTGTCCCAATCAATTCACCTGCCTCTACTCTCCTGAGCCATCCCCCACACCTCTGTCTCTCTCTCCTGCAGCCGACTGCTAACCAGATAGATAGATAGATCAGGGTTGCCGACTTTTCAAAAAACCTTGGAGTGAGATTTAGCGGGGCCGACCACAATTTCGTTGTTTAAGCCGACACATAAAATTTTCGTTTTTTGTTCGATTTGGTAGATGCGATCGTGATCCCCTGCACCCTAACAGATTTTTTGGGGCGTCTGCTGGAGATGGATAGGGCCTAATACCTTACATACAAATACCATACAGAGAGAGACAATGGTGGTACAGTGGGGGTCTTGGGGTCCTTGCCTAGAAAATTTTTGATGTGGTACTGTAGATGTGATTTCCTGCATTCTGGTGGATTTAGGGGTAGCATTCTGGAGATGGGCAATACCTACATTCATTCAAAGCCACCCTGCCTCGCAGGGCCTTCACAAGTGAACCTGCATTCAGCTCAGAGTGACTGAACTAGTGAAAACCAGAAACTAGGACTTTCCTATGCGGCATATAGCCTATTACTTTATAGACACAAGACCCATTTTGGATTTAAAGCAAAATTCATGGTTGAAATGGTTGAATATATTATAAATTATCTAACTAAAATATTATTTTGGGAATAATAATATATTTTGTGTATTATTGTAGTCTAAAGAGCATTTCATGATACATTTCTAGACTATGCAAGTCTAAGAGTGCCTAGACCTAGGCCATTTCATTTCATTTTTGACATTTACAGAGCTCTCCAAATGCCTTTTGACATAGCTGTGGAAATTAATCGCAAAGTCACTTTTATGCTATAGATATTTTTTCTCAGACAGTTATATTCTCTTCTCACCTGTGAAGACCCTGCATGATCATCCTTGCTGGCCTCTGGTCCACTGTCTCTTCCCTGACACTGCACTTTCTATTGTGGCAATAAAGATTAAAAAAAATATGTGCAAAGCAATAGTGAGCACAAGTTCTTATTAAGGAGGAGCTGTTTTTTTCCTAGCATGAAACTAGCTAGCAAGCGATTAAATATAGGCAACAATAACATTAGTATTCTTGTTAACTAGCTTAAAGCTATAGTGCGTAACTTCTACAGGTCCATAAATGTCCGTTTCACCCAAGCCACTACTAGAGGAGATGACACAATGCTGATTAAGCCGATTGGGTCCTCTAACATCTCGCGGTATTTTTCAATATATATCATTTTTAGTTTGCGTGTCGACCAGCGACATTCCCGTGCTGGCGCACAGGAAATGCTTCCTCACAACAAGAAGGAAGGGGGAGGAAGAGCGGAGAGTGTCACAGCAAGAGGTAGAGCGCAGGTAGAAAGAGAAAGCAACATGGTGGAGAACCCAAAGAAGCGGCCGAGACACGGTTCAGAAGTGGATCCTACCACAAAGAAAAAGCCTGGACGTTTGGCTGAAGGTCTGTTAGCAAAGAAGGAAAGTGACCGACGGAGAAGGCAAACAAGGATTTGTATTGGCGTTGCTTTTTCTCGGTGGAGAGCCCTGAAAGAAGAAACTGAGCTGAGGGCAGACACGGATGTTGCCTTGCTGCTGTTGGATAAGTAAGTGACTTGGTTTATAATTATATTATGAGTAGTATGTGTTGCTGTTACATGTACTGGACCTAGTACATTATTATTTTCTTGGAAATGGTGCTATGAACGTAATGTAATGTTAGCAGCCTGGTGTTCGCCACGTTATGTAGCATTGTGTACACGGTGTGAAGCGAGTGTTACTCTGTGTACACGGTGTGTGGCGAGTGTTACTCTGTGTACACGGTGTGTGGCGACTGGCGAGTGTTACTCTGTGTACGATGTGTGGCAAGTGTAACTCTGTGTACATGGAAGTGCCGCCAGCTTATTAGTTGTAATAACGCATTATCCGCTGGGAGGCGACAGAAGTTACACACTATAGCTTTAACTTGATATATCGGCATCTATTAGTCATCATTTAGCAAACATTATCTACATGAAACAGCATTACTCAACTTACATGGATTGTTTGGAAGAAACTGTGCAAGGTTTTTTGCTTCTTGCTGGCTGGTTTGCTGAACATAGCTAACACACAGCAGCGCTGCCCAGCAGCACACATCTCGTCTGAGTGATTGATTCAGATCACAACACGACAGCGTAGCCGGCTGACTGTGACACTAGAGCTGCCCAATCAAAGCACAAATATGGATTGCACACCAATTATAGAGTAGTTTTCCACAGAAACATTTGGCTGCGCTCCATTTCACTCAACTGGTACGCCGGTCAGACGGAGTCTGCCCCTCTCCTCTCCTCTCCTCTCCCCTCTCTGAAGTCTGGCTGCAAACTTCAACTCCGCCCACCCGGCACGCCAATTGTTTGAAATGAATTTAAAATACTCATCTGCCAGCCTTTTTTCCAGCGTTCGTCGCTGGCGTGAGAATTGGTTGGGCAGAGTGAGACCGTGAGATGGAAGGTGAATGCATGTGTCACATGCCAGATGCGTGAGAATTAGCAACCCTGAGATAGATAGATAAATACTTTATTGATCCCGAAGAAAATTCACTTTGCAGCTGCTCCATAACACACACATTCCAATGAAAATAATACTTAAAATATAAAAGGAAGATAAAATACAAGAATAATAAAAGTGTAGGCATAAAAAAAATATATATACTATGTATTGTAAAGTGGCAGAAGTGGCTTAAAGTGGCTAAAAATTAGTCAGTTGGGATAAAAAGTTAGTTAGTGTAGGTGCTGTTGTACAGTCTGACTGCTCTGGGGACAAAGGATTTTCTCAGTCTGTCTGTGGAGCAGTTCAGTGACCACAGTCTGCCACTGAACGTGCTCCTTTGAGAGCTGATGGCAGTGTGCACCATGCCCCTCTCCACATATGTATATATTAATATATGAGAGTATATGATTGTGACAATGATAATCATATGTGTATAATAATAGTAGAAGTATTACTACTAATAAATAGCAGTAGTAGTAGTAGTAGGCATCAGGCAGGACCAT